GCTCGTGAACCTAGGTAGAACAGTGTCAAACTTTTCACCCAACTACCCCTTGAAATCACCAAAAACAGCCTGATCAAGCAACCTTCGCCCCCAAAAGGACTTGGACGCCGTTTTTTTCGCCAAAACGCCTTCCCATATGCAATAATGGCCTTAACAAAAGACATCGCAGCACCCGAGAGTCAACGGGACGTAACCCGACTTCGCATCCACCAGGCACACGACAGAACGCATCCACGAACGAGCGATGCGGCGAAAATGCCCCCCAAAGGACAGATGTGAACGATGTGAAGATCCTGATGCGAAGAAAAGAACATGCGAACTGTATGCGAACTTGAAGCGAACTGTTCATGTGCCAGCTCGTCCTCAATGTGTTGCCAGCTACATTTTTTGGAAAAGCAATGAGGCTCTTGAAATCCCAGCGTGAGCAACATACTGGACTCAAACTAATAGTCCAAAACGAGAGCTATGACCTTGACGTTATGTCCCTGATCCTCTTCACGATGCTCTTTGGCATCTTCCTTGGGATTGGAATGACATGATTGTAAGAATAATAAAAATAAGAAGAAACAAAAGTCCACAGCCGAGATCGGCATTCAAACGGTCGGGTCTGGACAATGTGAAGAGACCCTAGTTCAGCTTCAATTTGAGCGAGGATAATATCACACATCACATCAATCTCGAAATGAGTGGGCTCCAGCGAGGGCTCGCAACGACGATGCCCTCCACCAGCTTTAGATCTGGCACTGCCGGTATGAGAAGCTGAAGGAGGAACCTGCAAAAACACCTGGACACCAAGGACCAAGCTTCGGGTTGCAAAGCAACCGGCTTCCATGACAGTTTGTCTGCGCTCAAGTTGAGCAATTGTTGCACAGCACACCAAGGGTGTATATGCATTTGTTCTTTGATGGATGTACTCCAGCTGTGGGTGCGATCAAAATCAAACAAGCAACATGAGTGGAGACCAGGTTCAGAACACCAGTGAGCTCAAGTACAGACTTGAATGGAGCCTGATTGAATTCATTTCTTGTCACCCTCTCTTTCACCCATGTGAGTTGTGCACCGCACACCATGTGTTTGTTGTGTTTGACATGCCTGTCGCATCCGCATCTGCCGCCTCAAACCAGTGGCGGGACCGTGCCCCTTTTGAAGCCATGAGCTACTACTGGAAAGATCGTGACGTGAACAAGGGTTCTCTGCGATTGCCCCGCAACAAGAAACCTGTCCTCACAGTTCACTCACCCAAACCTCGTCTCCCAAAACGAAGGCGCCGCTGACGCGCGTGCGCGTCGCTTCCGCGTGGCCAGCTGGCCACGGCCGGGCCGAGCGGCTCCAGGATGACACGCATCGATGATCTGACAGTAGACGGCGCCGTTGGCGCATTGCTCCACCTGACCAAGTCACTGACCGAGTGAGAGTGGTGACCCGCAGCGTGAGAGGCCAGGCGCCAGGCGCCGGGGCAAAGCAAGCGGAAGGCGAGGCGGAAGGCTGTGGTCGGAACATGGATTGCAACAGCATGGAGAAAGGGAGAGTTCGAGTTCAAAGACATGAGTAGATTGATCTTTGATAATTCCTTTATGATGTTTGGATCGGCGGAAAGAAAAGTTCTTTAACTCCTGAGTTCTCAACTAAAGTGGCGGGCAACCATGCCTTTTTGATGGGCTTTTGGTAAGCTGGAAAGGGAGGCAGGTCTCTGCAAAGCTGGATGTCCACATCCCATGAACACTTGCATCTCTTGAATTGGCCCCTGGCTCTGGGGATCATTGGACCGCTCGGCCACCAACCTCCACCCGGTGAAGCCAATCTCCCCACATCGGTGAACAGAAGCGAACAAAGCAAACAGCAGCATCTTGCGACCATGGTCAATCCTCAGAACTTCTATCTATTCAGAATCTATTCATGGAACTTTGGTCGTTTGCAAAGAAATCATTAAACATTTGCCGTGAATCCTGGAAAGCATTGGCGGAGCTCATAGAGTCTATGTCGATCATCCAAAGAGGCATCCAAATTGGGGTTGCCCGCTCTATCTTCCAATCTACGACCACCCAAAAAACAGCACTTCGAACCACGCGCCTTCTCAACACTCAACCTGAGCCGTCGCGTGCTTCCAAGTTTCGGTGGCTCTGTCCAAGTGTTCCGGGGGTGTTGAAGGAATTGAGACGAAATCAACTTAGGACAACTCCTGACTCACCCATGGTGAGAAACATCTTCTCCTCAAAAAAAGGGATCCAAACCGGGGGCCATCCTATTTTCTCTACTCACGAGCATAAGTGCCAGAACCCCGGTGGGAAATGAGTCACCCATGAACCTCTTTTCGGGGGCTATAAATAGAGACCCCTTGGGGAGTCCTGTCCTGGTGAAAACCATGCGGTTCCTCAGCGCCCATCCGTTTGTTGAGAAAAACAAAGAGTGAACCCGACCAGGGTGTTTTCTGGGCGACGTGGCACAGAGTGTTCGGGTGACGGAAGAGCATTCGCACCAGGGTTGGTTGTGTCGCACATCGGTGTTTCTCATGGGGATCATCTCGCATTTGCACCCACCAAAAACATGGAAGATAGGGTCTACGGAGTCTACGATCTATGATCATCACGGATGCAAAATTTCAGGAACAACTGCTAGCAATAATACACATTCCCACATACAGTCTACATGCAGGACAAAGACCTACCTACGAAGCTCATAGAGTTCACCTTCACCTTCTGATCACGTTCGATTCGTGAACGATTCGTTCGACTGCACGTCCCCCCTCAAAGGATCGGTTCCACGACCAAGTTGGTCAGACTATCAGGCTTGTGCAGAACACAGCCTGTTTCGACATGACCTGCAAACTCTTCTTTTTGGACAGACACCTACAGTAATTCTTGGGATCAAGCAAGTTGCCTCCCGAACAGTTCACGCCATATGCTCCGACAACGCCAAGCAAAGGTTGCCCTCACACAGTTGCCAGGTTGCTGGAAAGTGCTGTTCAACCATGCCAAGAGTTCCGTCCTTGACACATGGCCAAAGGCGGCCAAAGGGCTTCAAAGTTCGGGGAGAAAGAAACCAGGCAGGTCAATGTAGTGGTACAATATGTGCCAACATCTTGGAGAACTGGAATTTTTGGTGCAGGGGCCCGGCATCAAAATTCCTGGCCATCGGATCGGGAAAGAGTAACGGCTTCTGCCATGGAACGGCTTACTGCCATCGGAACCCCATCAAGTGTGCAACGTTGCTTCATCTCCGAAAGGGATGTGGTCTTGTGACAAGTGCCTTTGATAACTATTTTTGTTCAGTCTGTTTTTTTTGCCTGGGTCAGCCGCCTTCAGCCAGTAGTCGGCACCGTGTAGGTATCAATCCAACCTTACACACTTTGCATCACTTTGCTATATATCGAGGAATTGCAACTGTAACATGATCAGGACGTCGCAAATGTGTTGGTTCCATTCCCATGGCCATGTCGGTCGAACCCCCAAAAGAATTGCACTCCCTGGAAAAAAATAATGGAAGTGCATGTCATGGCCCAAAGGATGACCATTTTCTGAGAACCAAGCAGGTGATTCAGTCAGGCACCACTTCTATGATTATTTTAGGCATGATACTTATACCAGGACACTGCCAGATCGGAGGGTTGTTAGGACCGCATTTCGGTCTCTCTCTCTTGACCTGTTAGATCGACCAGCGAATTCACCAGTGCCCGGTGCCACCCGTTGCCTTGACACGAAGAAGGCTCCATCCATACGGCCCACGGAGGACATGTTGCACGTGGATTCGTGTAAAGCTTTGGCTGGTGACTGGAGCAACTGGGCAAATGACGAAAACAACGACACCTAGTGGTTCCAAACAAATTCCACGGAGTCCAAGAAACTTCCTCTAAGATCCTCTAGTCAGTCTAAGGAGTTCATCCATGGGTCTCTATTTCACCCTCCTATACTTGCACTCCCATTCTCAGCACTCAACATCTCACTCCAAGTCCACTTACAGGGCAAGCTCGCTGCTTCTAGAACGTGTAGGGCTCGCGGCGAACCAAACGAACCTCTCCACGGTGCTGTCTCCACGTGTGAAGAACCGCTGCACCGAATCAGCTGTGCTCCCGATCGGCAGGTCCAGGCAGGTCTACCGGGTAAACAAATGAGGCGGAACTTCTCAAACATGGGCGAAACTATGTATCTGAACTCTAATCTATCTATAGCGACCCGAAACTTATACTATACCAAATACCAGTCTCAGTCTATTCACCTGTTCTTCTGCTCTTGCTAGAGACCTCCTTGTTCAAATTGCTCAGAGCAGCTGCAAAAACGGCCGACGCGGCAGCGCAGCTTTCTGGGACCGCACGATTTGAAACAGTTGTTGGATTTTGTTATTCAGCACACAGCCCAAACATCGAGGAACTTGGCAGCTCACAGGGCAATCTGAACTGTTCAGCTTGGTTTATGAGGCAACTCAATAGGTGGTATCCTGTTGTGAGCAAAGAAAAGTGAAGCACAAATTGAACAGAAGTGGCGATTGCGCCTCCTTAGTGGTTTACCCATGTCACATGTCCTTCTTGCATTGATCCCATTCACAAAACTCTGGCCAGTAAGAAACCCCGGGCCCTCCGACTGGATCGGTCTTTCTTTGATGGGGAAGCCACCTGGTGACACATGGTGCCCCTGAACCAGCAAAAGACGCTCGATGGATGTCGGTTTTGGTGTAAGGACTGGCGTGAGGATATTCTCAATATCTGTTCATCAGCTTTCCGCGATGCTTGCACATTGAAGAAGGCCCTGCGAACTTGGATGATGAGGAACTGCCAAGCAAAGTTCTTTACAGGCATCAGTATCAGCATGACAGCAATGATGATGCAGCATGTCTATTTGAACCGAAGGGATCCGAAGGGTAGGGATGGTACAAGCAAGCTTGCTTCTTGTGATAAACCTCCTCTGGAGTGGTTGCAAAGGGGAGGATCCCGACTTTGAAGTAATTAGCCAGCAAATTTCAGATTATATATATATATGAGTTTATAAGCTTTATCTGCTGATGTTAAACAGACACTGAAAGAAGCTCCTACCAGGGCCCTAAGGGGTGTCTATTTATAGCCTCTTAAAGGTTAAGGTGTCCATTCACCACACCAAACTGGGGACCCTGAGCCAGGGCCTCAAACAAACGAAATGAGTCCAAATGCCTCTCAGTTTCCCCTCCCAGGCTCTCAGGTTCGGACCTTTTTGGCTCTTTTCCGCATCACTGTACACCCGTCGGACGGAAATCGCTGAACTCCACGGAGCGTGCGTCGGCGGAAGAACTCCATTGACGCCCCGATAGGAGTTCGGGCGCCATGTCCGACAGCGACGAGTTCGAGGCCAAGGCTCACTTGGAAGCTTTCCAAGATTCATGCAGCTTCTTCTGCTTCTCCAAGTCCTGCACAGAATGGGAGCCAGGGTGTGCAACAAATCAAACAAATCAATCAATCCATCTCAAGTAGAGTCTTCGGCAAAGTTCCAACACCTGAACCGACTATGCGCTGTTGTGCCGGCCAGAAAGGGGGCACAGCAGCTGCGGGTCCTTCTCACTTCACCATGGTGCTCTGTTGCAGGGTCGGCCCTCCCGGGGATCCCGCAAGAGCTGTGGTGTAAAATAATACAGCAGCTGTTCCAGGCTGAAGTAAATTTCACAGCATTTGAGGGTAATTTCGTTTTAATTGAGTCCAAGCCCGGGTAAAGGTCTGTTGTGTGTGGGAAGCATGTTCTAGCCCATTTGGGTCAAAGATGGACAGGAGGTCCTATTTTCGAGGCCTGGTGTCAACCCCAAAAGGGGATGAATCATCAGGAAAAGCTCTTGTCCCAAACGGGACATGTTTTCGAGCTTATGATGGTGATGATCATGGAACGCTGAGCGACCGCAGAAGTTACTTGAGACAAATAGTGGGGAAGAGTGAGTCATCGAAGGGTGATCTGGCTTTAGCAGAAGTTTCAGAAAAAGTCCAAGAATCTGATTCAGTTCACCAGACTTTGGCGACAGTGTGCTTTGATCTTAAAAGGTTGAGGCAATTCAAAGCTGCAATGCTACAGACTGAGTCCAACAAGACAGCTCCTTTTCGCAAGCGGCCCAACTACAATAATTCCCGAAGGAGACTTCTTGCAAACCCCAAGGTCCGTGTGAAGTGGCTTGTTGTGCAAAGCAATACTTTGCTGTGTGGTGATGTTGTTGTATTGATGATGATTGCTGATGATGGTGACGTAGGGTCTTCTTCTTGAAGGTTAAGTTTGGTCTGAGGTTATTTTCATTTTCGTGTGGTCCTGCCATCTCACCATCACCAGTCTTGCTTGGGGTGTACTCAGGCAGGCATCCAATGGGTGCAGCAGGAGTAGATTGGCTAAGCTTCTGACATCATCTTGCCGTTGCCATCGACAAACGTGCTTCCAGGGGTTCCAAGAGGATCAGGATACTGTACTTACCTTCCTGGATACTTTTTGGTCTTTGCACAAGATTGAGCAAGATTCTTATGATCGGGACTCAGTTGATTATTCACTGAATTTGGTGTATGTTCAGGTGTTGTTTCACATAGTATTCTGTTTCGTACAATGCTTTGGCTGCCAAGATTGAGAGCATGCTGACTGGCATTGCAAAGGGCAATCGCAGCTGGTCGTTCCTCACAGGGAAGCGGATCATCTCTTCGAAGTGCTTGGCAGCACTTCTAGGCATTCGATCGGGTCGTTTCTCCCGAGCTGGGGCAGGCTTGCAGGATCGACGATTTGCAAAGTTTGGGGCCGCTACTTATCAAACATTTGCCAAACCGCATATTGTGTCATAGGTTTTGGAAAAAAGAACTGTCAAGTGTCTTCCCCAAGCATATCATCGACATTCCTGCTTGTGAGCAAAGGTTAAGAAGAGAACACCCTTGAAGAACATGAAGTTGGACTCATACTTTCTCAAGTTGTACATCAATGCAGCAGGGATGCTTCCAGATCGGTTTCTTGCTTCATTATATAAATATCCAAAAAGAACAAGCAAATTGGATGCATGTTAACCCACCAGGACACATGTCACTCACCACAGGTTTCAGAGAGCTGCTCGAGAATCACAAGGCGCAACTGGAGATGAGTCCCACCTGACCATCAAGTTCACTCATGGCTCCCACAAAGATGATATTGGAGTCTAACCTGCAATGAGGTTTTGCTGTAAACCAAAGGTCTGTGGCATAAGAGATCATTTCTGGGCAACTTGGGGGTTGCATGCTGAGACACTGATGTGGACAACATGGTGGGAGCGGAGGATGCAGATGAGTGGGAGGTGCCAGCAGAGTCTATAGATTCAGACTTGGAGCTGAAACTGCACATTTTAGGCTTCAAAGCGGTCTGGTGTCAGAGCCATGTCATTTTTAAAACTGACTGCAAGATTTGTTGGTCAGCTGCTCAAAGCAATTGTTCTATGAACAGCTTAGCTCTCAGGATTGTGGAGACCACGTTTGGCAGCTGCCCTTCCGAGCTGCCCACACGCTACTTGCCACCAGGGAACCTGAAGTTGCTCCATGCTGGTAGCAACCTCGCTGTTTCGTAGCTTAGATCAAAACCCAAATCAAGGCTGTTGGGTGAACTGCAGGTCACAGGTCTAACCAGGGTTGGTCCAACCAGCACACAGCCTGAGGTACAATCATTTTGTACGAAGGTTTCAGACGAAGTGGGCTAATCTTTTGCGCTTCTCAAATCCAACTGGATTTGCTGTTTGCGATGATTGCTCGTGCTACAAGACAGCCTTTGAGGAGAATTCTGACACTTTTCTTACCAATAACTCACTAACTGTTTTCATATCTATCTCAGCTTGATGGATGCTCTAATTGATGCTTACAGACTGAGAATTATATTTGTGAGGATCCGGTGGACAAATACGAAATAGCCCGTGGCTATCGTGACCATCTTGGAGCTGTGGCAGCAGACAGGCAGCTTGAAAGCTACCTCGAGGCCTGTTTGGTGATTGGAGTCAAAACCTGACAATTTTCTTGCACTAGAGTTTTTGATCAGGCCCTTGACCCTATGGTGGATGGTGACACATTGCTTCTAACAACTGATTCTTCCCAGCAGCAAGAGATTGAAGTTTCAGGCATCATGAGTTTGCAATTTGTTGCATGTGATTGCATTCCGGGTTGGGCAGGAGTAAGTGTTGCCTTGCTCACATAAGGATGGAATGGACCAATCCAAATGGTGCCTACCGAGACTCCGGCATGGCACTCTTTCGAAGAGCATGCAGAAACTGGATCGTCCAAGAGTAAAAATTCAAGGTGTATGGTGCCATCAAGTCTGTCTTCACCTGCACGTGGTAGATGTTCGTTTGCCGAGCGATGGCTCGACAGTGGCTGAGTCTGTCATCAAGACCCTGGAGCATGTCCACACCATCTTGCAGGACAAGATGCCACGCAAGATCCTGATGATTGCTGCTAGGCAAAACTGGAGTTGCTCAATGTGAGATATTGTTACTGAGTTACTGTTACACTTTTGGTCAATGAATATCTATATACTTTTAGATTGAGGCGGACAATACTGTTCGCGAGAACAAGAACCAGACGATCCTCAAACTGTTAGCGTGGATGCTATTACAGAAGGGATTGGAACTCACTGGAATATTATTCCATCGCGTGGGGCATACTCACGGAAGCTTGGGTAACTTGACGAAATGCTAGTTTGCTTCAGATTCATTAATTGTTGAAAGGGAGCTGCAGAACCAGGAGTTTTTCGTTTTAATATGTCCCTTTGACCGAGATCAAATATACGGGATCCTGAGCAGATCCATGAGGTGGGTCGATTGTTTGGCTGACCCACCAGACATAGAGGAGACACTTGGGGCAATTTGAAGCTGTTTTGAGACTAACTACTAACAGCCATGTCCAAACCAAACAGCCGCTAACAATTTGGTTGGGCATGGGCATTGAGGAAGCTGCGCTACCTGTGTGACAAGATCAACATCAAGGCTTGGCTGGGAAATGCCGAGGTGCTTGTGGAGGAACTCAGAACTACCAGACCATGGAAAACATGGTTCCTTGTCTGTTTGAGTTTGCCTGGAACAGGTTGCACTTGATTTGATGAATATTTTGTTCATGCGTTTGTTCTCTGAGGCTTGAAGGTGCACCGGTGACATATTCTGGAGGAATGAAAGAAGATAGCAGCGGAGCCCATGCCTTCCTCTTCATGCGTCGTAGAGGCTCATTCTAGATTGAACTGATTGTAGGAGTGCAGGTGAGTGTATTACTCTTTTACTTCTGGCTGCCAGACATCCCTGGAAGCATGAACATCGTCACAGAGGGCCCTGGTCGACATGGATTTGCTGTGTCACCAAATGATGTTGTGTGCTGCGTGAAGCGTTTCCTTGCGGACCATGCTTTGAGCCAGGAGTTTGTGAATTCTTGTTCAACAGCTTCACAAGCAAGTAAGATCATATCATATTGAACCAAACCTCTCCTGCAGGACCCAGTAGTGGTCTTCCCATGTGAGTTCATGGGCCTGGTGGGAGACATTCCCCACATCGCAAGGCCTTTGAAATCATTTGATAATGACAGAAGAAAGAAATTCTTGCAGCTTGCGATGCTACTTCTTCAAACAGAAGATAATGCAAGCACACAGAGAACAGTTCAGTATATGATTGCTTTGAGCAATCCAAATGCTCCTGCAGAGCCTGTTCCTGCGTTGCCCTGGCTTTCTGTCAGGTGTGACAGTGAGTTCGATGCCCTTGTAAGTTTAGACCCAGGGCAATCGCTCATTGGTAAGGTGATTCCCCAAATGCAGTTCAGTGCTCGGATGCAAAGACGCAGGTGAGATGGAAAAAACAATCTAATTGCTAAGATTCGCATAACAACAGATGGACAGATGGAATCGTTCTTTGATGAAATGATTGGAAGCTGTTGCGGTTCTGTTTGTTTGCAGCGCCTCAAGCTGGGGTCTGTAGTTATTTTGAAGACCATGGATGAGATGGAGAGGAGTGCTTGTTTTTCTGCAGCTTATGAACCTGTTCCTCAAACCACTTGTTGTGTTGGGCCTTGAGTCATCATTTGGAAGGACTTCCGGTAGCTTGAAGCGTTCTTTGACAGATGTTCAGTGCAGCCTCGTGAACACTACGCCAGATCCTAAACGAAGGCTTTTTCAGTCGAAGGACTTTCAGAAACTGGATGCTTGTGCTATAAGTGTATGTTTATTCCATTGCACCAGGGCTTGGACAAGGTTTATAAACTTTTTGGAACATTCTGGATATCAAAGAAGCTTCACACCACTTCTTTGCTGTTACCAGTTTGAATTTACCTGGAGCTTGCGACAGGACAACGACATCCACCTTGAAGCTGCTGCTTCTGTGGTTTGGTGGAGCGACATAGCCGATTCTCAGGCACACCATCAGTTTTGGGAAGGGGCAAGGAGTTGTCAACAACTGCCAGGATC